TCACAGCAGAGTCCTACTGTGAAGAAATCGACGAAATGTACCGAAAATTGCGTCAGCTGCAGCCAGCACTTATCAAAAGAAAGGGTCCGATTCCTTTGCATGACAACGCGCCACACGTTTCACAAATCACTATCCATAAATTGAACGAATTGGGGGTTGAAGTTCTACCTCAACCGCCATATTCTTCAGACCTTTCGCCAACCGACTATCACCTTTTCTAACATTTTCAGAACTCCCTTGCTGGAAAATACTTCATCAATCAGGACCAGGCAAAAAAGCCTTAGTGGATTTCGTGAATTTTCGACCACCCAGTTTTTTACTTTGATGGGATTTCTCGACTGCTGTCACATTGGCAAAAGTGTGCTGATTCGAATGGTGCCTATTTCGATTAAATCCGATGAGTATTAAAAAAGTTACGATCGTTTAAAGTGAAACACCCAAAACGCTGAGAACTTTCCGGACAACCTAATAGAAATTCTCCTACTTTATATGAGATGCTTCGCTCATCCTCGTCGTAGCTTGATGTTGGTGCGTAGGCGACGAAGATTGTCAAAGCTGGAGTTGAACCACATCTTCTCAATCGCAAACGTCCGATTCGGGTCGTCAGATTTTCGTACGAATCGATGTTCATGGCCAAGTGCGTGTTGACGAGGACGCCCACACCGCCAACGCCTCTGCTGTCGCATGTTCCGAGGAACAGTTTCTCCAGTCTCGTATACGGCGTGTAGCGGGCGATGCCTCCGTCTCGGTCAGTCCGATGACGTCGTACTTGATCTTCCTGGCTTGCAACATCAGATCTTCGATGTGAGCTTCCGATGCAAGCGTCCGTGCGTTGAAAGTACAGATCGTCATCCTGCTGACATCGGCTTGTTTTCGACGGCCCTGATACACCTGCAGCCTCGCCCGTCTAAGCCGACGCCGCCCTGTCGGTGGTTTTCACAGGTTCGGGGGATGGGGGCTATATTATTTATTGTTTTCAGCATATGAGTGAATTAACCACGCGCAGCTTGCCAGGCTGTAAGGTGGCCTACCTTTGGTAGTCCACCTTACAGCCTGGCAAGCTGCGCGTGGTTAAGCCTGGCCTTTGGCTCGAAACAGTTCAAACGATTCACCCCCACGTCGCGCTGAGGCAGTGGATGTAGGGCTACCGCGCAAGTGATTCAACGAGTCGCAATCACTACATTTGCGTTAAGGGAATATTAACCCTATTCCCTTTTGATATCCGAGAGAAAAGAGACTTTTCCCTCTCGATGATACAAGGCATAAGCCAGTATCTTAGGACCGACTGACCCACGCAGTCGCAAATAGGATGAGGAATACAAGGAGGAGGATTCTCGAACAATAGAGAGCGATAGACGAAGTAAAGCAGGAGACTGAGGGAGCAGTGAGCCCTGTAAGCCTGACAATACTATTATGTGATCGAAGTTGTCGCCGTTTTCGGCGACTATGCTGCGATGATGTAATACGTATATAGGTATGTATATAAGGTATATAGGTACGTATGTAGGTATGTATATAAAATACGTACACAACAGTACAGCTGAAAACGAAACGGTCCCTTCTAGTCCCTGCACAGCAGCGTTTCTCAGTTCCTTTACATCAACTTCCCAATCGAACCAACATTGCTCCGCGTACGTTTTACTTTCAGTGGGATATCACATCTCCACTCATCATTGGCGTCATTTAGCATTTCAATACAATATTCAGAGCTGGGATAGAAGACTGCAGTAGTGTAGAAATAAACTGACCGAGCAGTCAGATGGTTCGATGAGCGTTCGGATGAACAGGAGCAGTGGAAAATGAAGCATTTCGAGGAACCACCAACATTATGAGATGTGAGCTGCATGTAAATTGACCACACCAGCTAACATACAGCTGATATCGTCATTATCAACCCCGAACTTCTCTGCCTCTCAATCCACTTCGAGCATTTAAGCAGTAAGAATCACTGTTTAAAATATTCTTGCTAGAACGTCACTACTGAAGAAAAAGCAGAGAACTAAAACGACAACCCAATGAGGCCTCTAATTCTCATGGGTGAGGGTAGCACTGCGATCCTTTGTCAACAATTGTCATCTAAGGTGTGATGTAAGGTTTATCTTTGATATGAGTGATTCCTGCACATTATTTTATACCAACAAAGTCAATGTTCTAGAGCTGGCCAGGATTTATAACTTGCTAACAGATCAAGCTTTTCACAAGGATATCGTTCTCCAGTGAATTCGTGACTGTGACTGAACTCACCCTTGTCTTATACTACAGAGCCAACATAGAGGAAGATGAAGTCATTTTGGCAACGCCCTCTGTTATTTTGCATTGGCTCATAATACCCAAATTCGAAGGTTCATTCTGTCTTAGCGGCAGAGCTGATAGTTCCACTCACCGATGGAACTTGTGTATTACGTGCATGTGTGTCAGGCATTCATTGAAACACAGATTAATTCTACCTGCCTATTCAAATCAGCTACTTAGATGAACAGACACTCCTGTATACTTCATCGAAAAGGAAGGCATTTTATTGTTGCGTGCCTATAGAAGCTTCTCGAAGTTCGATCCGCATAAGTACAAAAGGCTTCCTTTCTGATCGAGGAGCCATTATGGATTACATAAGAACTACCTATCTATATCTTCACTCTGAGTCTATAGACTCTGCAAGGGCCTACAAGAGCAGCTGTCAGACTCATATGCTCTGTATTAAGGAACGATGTTGTTCAGCACTTCTTAATCACTCGTCAGCATCATAAGTCATTTGTGGAAGGAGGTTGTACCTCTAGGCGCCTCTCGTTACGACTTGTATAGTTATAGTTGAAAGTATTATGTAGGCGAGACTAGGGAGTTGGTGCAAGGTGGTATAAGGTGATAGGGATTGATAGAATTAGAAGAAAATTTCACTAGGTCTGCCACGTGACATTAAGTGAGAAAACTGGTAGGATGGAAAAACAAAGACTGGTAACAGGTAATTGTATTATGTGGCATACGGTAAAGGGTACGTACGGCACATTGGAACGGATAATGACAGTATTTGTCACAAACTTGACTCTGCTTATACTGCTATGCCACTCGAGGTTTTTAGGTGGAAATCTTTATTTTACGGCCTAACGTTTCGACTTGGTCGTCTTCTTCAGAGGCCTAAACGCGTTTCGAGGTTAGGAAATGAACACTACCTTACTAAGCGCCCAACCAACCCTAGCAGTTCCGATGGCGTGTTCGGAACTCAACCTGAAAGCCCACACAACACGAAGAGTGCACTCACCAAGCTTCCACCGCATATCCATGCGGCTAGTAGTTAGTAGAGAATGAGACTTACTATAGCGTCTCCTGACACGTCTAGAATGAGGAGACGCACGTAGCGCTGCTACTTAGAGCTCGCAATACGGTATGTATGGCAGAAGGTCATTTGTCACTGACGGACACTCATCTCGGCTGTTCATCCTAGGATTTCTGACTGAAATCCAAAAAGCCTCTAACGCCTTCCTTGCTGATTTATCTCCGATACGATAAGCACTGCAGCACAACGAAGCATTGTTAGGGCACAGTTGCAAGATGTTGTTCAGTTGGTTAACATCCCCAGCTGCAACATCAAGCAGCAACTGGTTCGAAACAGGCTGTACGATAAACAGTGCATATCTAGAGATTGTGTTATTTGTCCACACGGCAGACTCGGTTTGAATAAACGAGCATCTAACTGGTATGAGACGTGATAGGCTCACGACAGCGCTTGGCAGGCATAAATCTGAGGAGCATGACGGCAACAACTTTGAAATCAAGTGTACGATATTGGCGCAGGAGACGGAAATTTCGGCAAGGAAGGCGTTAGAGGCGTTTTGGATTTCAGTCAGAAATCCTAGGATGAACAGCCGAGATGAGTGTCCGTCAGTGACAAATGACCTTCTGCCATACATACCGTATTGCGAGCTCTAAGTAGCAGCGCTACGTGCGTCTCCTCACTTCTAGACGTGTCAGGAGATGCTATAGTAAGTCTCATTCTCTACTAACTACTAGCCGCATGTGACTGCGGATATACGGTGGAAGCTTGGTGAGTGCACTCTTCGTGTTGTGTGGGCTTTCGGTTGAGTTCCGAACACGCCATCGGAACTGCTAGGGTTGGTTGGGCGCTTAGTAAGGTAGTGTTCATTTCCTAACCTCGAAACGCGTTTAGGCCTCTGAAGAAGACGACCAAGTCGAAACGTTAGGCCGTAAAATAAAGATTTCCACCTAAAAACCTCGAGTGGCATAGCAATATAAACAGAATAAACAACGATGCCGAGGTTACAACAAGAGAGAACTTGGAGAATAATTCGGAGACAAACTTGACTGTTATCTGTAATCTGGTCATTAGAAGTAATGATCAGAAATTAGAAATTATCCATTTTACTTCAGTTCCGCTATCCAAATGAACACGTCGTGTCCTACCGAATCTCTGCAGCCCAGGAACGAAAAATATTTGTTAGAATGCTACGAAAGGTAAGAAACGGCTACCCTATCGTTTGCCAAAACGTGCGAAGTAAGCAGCAGTAGGAAATTGGAAGCGGTCAGGGATTCACCGTGTGACACGCTATTGGAAGTCGGGCCGTAGGGCCCTCGGTGTATCGGACCTTGGACAAGAGGACAAAACTAGTAGTGAATAACAAATTATATTGTTCACAAGATTCAGCTGGTAAGTCTTAATGATAGAACCCTTGATAGCTTCCCTCAAGGCAAACTACTCCAGGTCAGGCGAGGAAACAAAGGAAAAAGTGGATGTGATCGAAATGAAGAAACTACCCCCAATCATATGCATTCGTTGGACTGGATAGGATGCCAACCCTCAACGGACAGCTTGAAGAGAATTCCGTCAATTCCACATATGGTATAATTTTTCTGTACTTCAACACACTCTCTTCTTGCCGTTTTCGTCTTGCAGTCTGCACCCACCGTTTCGCAAAAGTTTCAGTAGCTCAGCCAACCACCAAAAGTGAGGGCTCTTGGTTACAAGCCTACGTCATCGTCATAACGTCAGTTCATCTGTAGATGACAATCTGTTTGGTCTAAAAATGAATAATTCAAAAATGATCCCAAAAGAAGATTACGCGATTCCGTTATGTATACAGATAACGGAATCGCGTATCTATACGTTATGTATTTATGAATCAAGAGACACAGGCACTGTGATCAGTACTGATAGATCATCTATAAGGTTTTATCACATTTTATCAACATGGACATGAAAACTAAACAAACATGTTTGTAAAACAAATAATCAAGAGAGTGACAACATGTAGAAATTCAAACAAAAAAGATGCCGGTACGACACTTCTAACAAAAAAGCATGACAGTTTTAGCAGGTGCTTGAACATCGCAGAGCTGTACGAATAAATTCCTCAGGAGTTCTAATGAAAAGGAGAACTGATAATCAGAACAACAGTTAGTTGAACTAAAGATATTACTTCACAAGCAGACCCAAAAACCCACGAGCTATTCAAGTTACGAGCACTGCTTTTTCTTCAAATTCTGTTTCTCTCACGTTTTTCCCTACTGGACCACTTTCGAGCTATGCGAGAAGCGATCATGACTAAAGAGGTTAAGACGTTCGTTTAAGCTCAGGGAAAAGAGCTCGAGATTCAGTGCACTAATATTCTCGAGCCTGATTGCATCACTTCTGCATGGCATTCATAAAAAATGGCTTCAACGATTTCGAATGACTTGGGTGCTCTGCATCAAAGTGTGATTGGGGTGGCGCAGGCGCGGCTTACCCCTCTTGCACAATGTTGACTAGCATATATGTACTAGCGTGGGTTGGAGGGTAGCCAAAGCAATTTTTCCTCTTATTGTGGCGAGCTCATAAAGGCATTATTCGCAGAAAAGGCCGCTGGCGCATTCCAGTCCATGCATTGTAGTTTGCGGACTGCATCTACGTACAAAGTTATCGTTCTTTGCTTTGATCTCAGTTTATATCCTGGCTTTTGAAGAGCAGGCGCGAACCTTTGGTTGACTTCGTGATGGTCGCGGCGATTTCATATCTTCCACTTCTCCATCGATTGAGGACACCTCTTCGGCTGACGATTCCATTCTAGCCGTAGTTTGTCCACTTCGAGGCAGCTCGACAATTCGCGGCGGCGAACTTGCTGTATATAATAAGTTCCATATTATTTCTTTTTGCTTAGTGCACTCAAAGTGCGCCATGACAAGAGAGAAGGAAAACCATAGATCTGGCAAACCAAAAACTAAGCAAAAGCTAGGAATGAAAGAAAACGTTGAAAAAGGTAGTATTCTTGTCTCGAAAGTACTACACGATTCCTTTAGAGAACAACCCGCGATCCTATTCCTGATCCTTGATAATCAAGAGTGAATTCGCATAGTCTAACTGATTATCCTGAGAAAAAATTAACTGAACCGTCTAGAATGTCTCAAACAAGTGCCCTGGAACGGGATGTACTTGAAGAAGTGAGGAATATCATGCGAGCGCGAGGCTAGAGAAAAGTGGGGAAGAACAGAAAGACAGAAAAGGCGGTGAGCACGGGTTTTTCGCGCTAGGAGTGCAATCTAAATGTATTTGTGCTCGTAGTATAAGACCGTCAGCATGCTGCGTCATCACATAGGGTAAGACTTTTCGCCACTAATTACCCGTCACTGCCTATTCGAAATCAAGCCATTTTTTGACCAACTTTTTTCTTCCAGGGGTAGTTTGACTGTTGAAGTGATTACTACATTCGCTGAGCCGTGAACTGCTCAACGAATGTAGTAATCATTAGTAATTACTACATTCGTTGAGCAGTGCCACGGCGCTGGCGCTGAAATACACCAAATTGTCAATGGGATAGTTCTGCCTACCGAGCACGAGTGTCACTTTTGTCTGGGGTGTCGAGACTGCTTATGATGGAGTCGAGGAGGTATATGTAATAGATCAACCTGCTTTTGGTCGTTTGTACCCTTCACCCGAGATAGTGATCCCTTCCTCTGCCAAGGCTGAGCCGGAGTCGAAAAGTCGAAACAAATATGTTGACAAGACGGGAAAAATGATTAACTGTGCATGACTCTGTGCTGGCACGCATATTTGCCTTCTCACAGGAGATTTCATTTTTCCAGCTTTTGACTGGACAAGACGTGAACAGGTGTCTGGCGCATCAAAATTTTCTTGATATGGTAGTTGCTCATAGGTTACATCAGTACGTAACGACTTCAACTAGTAGAGGTGATATGATTTTAGATCTTTTGTTCTGTAACGACAAATCCTTTTCCACTACGGTCGAGATTGAACCTCCATTGGGCACGAATGACCATGCTGTGATAGATTTTGGCTTGTCCCTGAGAGTACAGGGAAACCTTACACGTGATTTCGAGAAAGCTAATCTCACTAAAATAACGTTTAATGACTCTACTGATTGATACATTCGTTCTCGGGCCTAAGTGTGAACGAAATGTGAAATGCTACTTTTTGTTCTTCATCAGTGCATTGATTTTTCCTCCCTCTGCGGAAGACGAAGCTGCGCAAGGCCGAAATCCCATATCATCGCCATGCGCTATTTGATAAGAAGGCTGAAGCATATAGGAAGGCGGTTTTTCTAACAGCTCTGATGATTGGGATTCTTATAGGAATATAACTAACAGGTTTGAGAGAAAAAATTTACAAATCCTAATGCTTGATCGAAAAAAAGCATTATTGAAAACAGCAATACGTGTGCCTTCTTTGAATATGTTGCTTAGAGATCCAAGCGCAAGGATTGGCTGCACACTATTTCTAAACCTGATGGGTCCGCGGTGGTTTCAAATCGGGACGAAGCCGAATATTTCGCTGAGCTATTTGGAAAGGTTTATGTAAGCAACAGTGATCATGTGAGATTAACTGATATGCCCGGATCCTTTCCCCTCTATACTTGACTCACATTGGTTCAGTGATCAAGAAATATTCGATGTTCTCTCAAAATGGAAATCTTGTTCGTCTCTAACCCCTGATGGTGTTCCTTTCCATTTCGTTAAGAGAATCCTACCCTCTATCATCGGTCCTCTCAAATATATTTTCAATTTGTGCCTGTTCCGCGCTGAGGTTCCAAAGAGGTGGGAAGCTCATACCTGTTCCGCAGAAGCCTCCCCGTAGTAACCCAAGCAACTATAGGCCTGTTAGCATAACTTCAGTCTTCTGCAGAGCATTCGAAAAAATATTAAAGAGGGTCATCGTAGAGCATTTGGAAAGGCAACAATATCTTACCGAATGCCAGCATGGATTCAGAAAAAATAAGTCCACAGTTACACAAATGATTGAGTGTTTAAATGACTAGACCGCAGCTCTGGACAATGAAAACGATGCTGTGTAATTTGACCTTTCTAAAGCGTTTCATAAGCTAGACCACACGTGAGCTTGACAAAGCTTCCCCACTTTGGGATTCATCATAGCATAGTTTCTGGATTGATTCCTTCACTTCATTATCGCTCATTTTAAGTACATATTAGGGAAACCCTTTCCAGTGTCAGATTGGCCCCTAGTGGTGTTCCACGGGGATGTCCTGCCTCCGATGCTTATCTGTATTTACACTTATGACCTTCCGCATCTAGTGGAGTTATATAGGAGTTAAATGCAAAATGTTTGCCGATGATGTTAAATATATAAGCCCATAGCAGACAATGCGGATACTATTAGAATCCAAGTAGCTATCGATGAAGTCGTTATGTGGTCTAACTTAAGGGGACTGCCTTTAACCTCTGACAAAACCTCAGTTCTCCGTTTAAGGAGGTCTATATCACACAACAACACTTCTTAGGGAGCTCTGCTTTGCATAACAATAACCAAATCAGAGATTAGGGTTTCGTAATTGCCAGTACGTTAAACTTGTAATCTCATTGCTCAACCATTGCGAAGAAAGCTGAATTTTAGCTTTTTCAACTCTTCAGATGCTTGTATACCAAGGATCGTTGTGTTCTTATCAGAGCTTATAAGACGTTCGATAGAGATATGTTCGCTCTATTCATATGGATCCATCATCTTTTTTCCTCATTAAAAAACCCATTTATAGGCTTGAAGCTATTCAAAATAGTTTCACTAGGAAGGTTTTGATTCGCGCTTTGGGGTTTAATTATAAGGCTATACCAAGAGGTGTCATCAGGAACAAGATGCTTGGTCTTGATTCTCTTCTATGCCGTCGAAAAAATTAGATTTGTTGATGGTGTTCAAAATACTTACAGGCAACGGTTTCGATTGATGAGCGTGATCTTTTCACTCTTCAAGTTTTGTCTAATTGTTTGTTTTCTCCTTTATTGTCATTTGTGTGTTTCTTTTTTATGGTTATGATTTCACTTACATATCTACCTCATTTATTTAGCGTA